TCTTTCTTAGGATTTTATAGTAAATAAAGTTTCGTCATTTAATCAAACGCCGCTTTTCGATCATACTAATTCATTATACAAGTAGTCATTGTATTCTCATAGTTTAACTTTATATGAATAAACCATGAACAAAAGAATGGCAGATTATTAAGAATTGAAATATCATCTGTATTTCTCTTTAAACTTTAAGTCAGTCCTTGATTAATGAAAAACAGAAACAATAAAACGAATCTACGAATCACATGTAAATATTGCGCATATGCAATCAATTGATGCGTATCATTTCGTGCTCGCGTTTAATTCGGTCAATATTATTTTCTTTTGTAGTGACGTCCTTTTTTTTTTCTCGGACCCATAACAAACGAAATAAACAGTTAGTTCGTCGCGGTTATAATTTTTTACGTCATACTACCTTATCAACGATTAGATCATAGTTTTTATCTGATCAATGGAACTTTATGCGAGCAAGCAATCGCAAAAATGCAGCCGTTTTTCGTTTGTAGTATTCATATAGATTGTTCACGCATCATGTTCCCAACTCGTTTGATCCTTGCTTTCGTCCATTATCATATCACATATAATTCTTCACGCAGATTTTTTTTTATAGAACGCGATCAATAACTTTTTCGTATGATACTATCAATATGTCGAGTTATGCGTCTGAATAGATGTCGTATGTCTGTTGCAGTCTACCTAATGCAATGCGAAACACAGCATTTATGAAGATCGATGTTTCTATAAGTGCGAAGTAAAAGTCTGTACTTTGTGACGGGATGAACTTAAGAACGGATAATAAAAATCTCTTTCGAAAGCGAAAATAAAGTCTTGCAATTCGCTTCTATACAGAAGATCTCATTTATTTACTATTAGCCCGATCGAAAGACAAAATTTTGCAAGCTTTGTTTTTCGAATTGATTAAATCGAAAATAGCCAAGAAGAATTGATGCTAATCTTTTTATGCAAGCAGTTTTATGTGTTACACCTGTAACGACAACCGTTAAAAGATAATGAATATACATAAATGATTAAACGATCAGTTCACAATATTCTTCAGAAACATGCTAAATAGTATTGACAACAGTTTTGTAGTAATACTAATCGTCATACATACTTTTCAATTTCTTTCAACTTGAATTGGTTGATTGAAACAGCTTTTTAAAAAGCACAATGTTTGTATTTTTTATGCAAGAGAAAGTCATCTATCATGTAAGTTTAGATATTGACACGAAAAACAACTAACACTATGTCCAACAGAACATTATCTTTATGTTACTGAGTGATGGATAGAAAAGTTAAATTAGTAAGAAAAAAAAAAGTTATATGCTCTATTAGCCTTGGCCAATGCTTGCTTCGAATCTTTGTCAAAATAATTGATTTTTTTTTAAATTAGGCACTATGATGGAATAATAATCGATGAAAAAAAAGTATGTTCCTGTGTATATTATTTAGAGTAAGAGAATGATAAGTTTATAACACTCGCACATCGATAAAAAGTCCCACACAACAAAAAAAAGTATGCTAATAAAATGTATGAATGTTTTTGTTATTTATTTATTCGACTGCTGAAGCAATAACTTGCACAGCTGGTTCATCTGTCGAACGTATTGTTAATTGCATGGTAATAGCTTGTGCTCCTGGATCTACTGTTGTACCACCTAATGCCATTTTTGCTCGAACAAGTACATCATGTCCACCATGATAGACAGCCGCTAAATAAAGTGCATGTGATGCTTTGCCTTCTGGAATTTTGTCTGATCGTTCACAAGCTTGCATTCCCATATAATTTATTATTTTCTTCACACATTCTATAATAAACATAAGATGAAATGAAAAATAAAATATAATAATGTTATAATACCTTCAAGTGTTGGAATTGATAATGTATATGTATCTTCAAGTTCATTTTCAGCTCCAATTTCTTCCCATGAAGCAGACCAATTTGGTTTAAGTATTTTTTGTACATGATCACTAACTGTTATTTCAATATCTTCAAGCTAAAAACAAAAAACAAAACGCTATGACAAATAAATAATCGAAATTAATAAAAATACAAACCACAAATTCAATAAAAAAAAAAAAGAGGAATCAGTAGAATATTTACTTGAAAAACAATATAATGACTAAAAATATGTTTTATACATCGTACAACATATTCAACTTCACTTTCAGTTAAATCAACTGGTAATGATGATTTGAATATTGGACCCAAATGAGCAAATTCTGGTATAGCAGATAATTGTTCTAAGAAATAGAAAAATGAATTTGACGAAAGAAATTATTTTTTTGTGAAACTTACCATCATAAGTATCTTCTCGATTTGTTTTCGATTCAATTCCTGGACGTGAAAGACCAACACCAATACTAATATCTATTATAAAAAAAAAACAATTTTATTTAAATAATAAAATCAAATTTGAATATCAAACCTTTAGGTTGTGCAACCGGAACTGCTTCAACAGGTACAGATCGAACATCAAATGGTTTTGTCGTTGGTTCAATTGTATAACGATGTAAAAGACGTTCAAGTGATGATAATGATACATTCATTGCTATATTAAAATATTTAATTTAATTTAATTTGTTATACTTACAATTGAGAATATAAGCTGAATTAAGTGCTTTATAGCACGATCACGAACTTCATCATCTTGATCGAGTGTTGTTCGTTGTAAAAGTACCAAAATATTTGGTAATAAATCTTCTGAAGCTGCACCAAATTTAGCTAATGCACTTACAGCAGCTACAACATTAATTAATTAGCAATAAATAAATACAAAAAAAGAAGAAAAGTGTTACCAGCTCGAACAGGTGCATTTTCAAGAATAACACGATTATAAATATAACGAATATATTTTGCTGGTGTTGTTGTACGAGGTCCTTCACGACCCAATAAATGAATAATACGAGTAGCTAATGATGTATGTTCACAATCTTCGATAAATTCACATAAATGAGCCAAACTTTTTAAATAAAATCCATATACAAAAAAAATTAAAATCCGATTATTTAGTTTTTACCTGCTTCTTTTGCTTCAGGGTTTTCTTCAACAATTGAAATAATTGTATTAACAATTGCCTTTTTATATTCATAACCACCTTCTTCACGTAACATATTTGAAAGAAATGTCATTAATATAGTATGTTTACGTGGAAATTTTTGACATAATGATCTTTGAAATATTCAATTTAATGATAAGAAAAAAAATTTTTTTTTGTGATTATCTCTTAGTTAATTGCATCAACAATAACTGTTCTAAATTGATCTGATATTTCAGATAAAAATGATGAGATTTGTTTCATTAATTGATCAACACCTGCTTCATTACCCGTCTACAAAAAAGAAAAACAAATTAAATTATTTAATTAAAATAAAAATACTTTAAGAAGAGTTGTTATAGCTAATGTTGCAATTGATCGATTTGAATCAGTAATTCATGTTTCAAGATCAACATTACAAGCTGTTACAGATGCTGGATATTGAATAGCAACCTTTAAATTTCAAGAGAATTCTATACTTTTGTTATGTAAAATGTATAAAACAAACTTTATTACGTGTTCGAACAGCTGCATAACGTAAAACAGGTTTAGATGATGAAATAAATAATTGAAGAACATTAACAGCTGAACTAAGTTCTTTTGGTGTAACACATTTAAGTGATACAATTGTTGATGCAGCTTCATAAATAACCATTTCATTTTTATGACGTAAACATGAATCAATAAAATCATACATTGGACTATCCGTTCTAAAAGTAAATTAATATTTTTCATTATTTCTTTTATTGATATGTTCTCTCTTTACCCTTCGCCTTCTTCATTTATAAGATTAGCTGCAATACGAATCTAAAGAAATAAAATTCAAATATTGAATTAATTATAAAAAAAATTGATATATTAACCAGAAAACAATATGCATATGGACTTCGAAAACCAGCTCTAGAAAATTTGACAATGAATTTTCTAATAGCATATTTATCCGTTCGACGTATTTGATATAAAAGACCAAGTGCATGATATTGTACCATTATATTATCATTATTAACAGCTTCTTGAACTTCATTAACCTATCGTTTAACTACTTCAGAACAATTGCTTGTTTCATATATCGTTCAACACTTTGCATCATTGATGCCTATTTAGTTAAATAAATATTTTTTTTTGTTTCGAATTATATTTAAATATACATACATCAGTAATTTTACATAAAGCTCGCATAGCTGGTCCACGATGAGAATCTTCTTTTCCAGTCATATCACGAGTTAAACTTGATGTTACAATAATAACATCATTTGTAACTGTTGACATTTCTTTTATTGATAAATAAATCATACGACGAAGCATCATCGTTATTATATAAATAAATAAATAGTGATCAATTTCATTGTTTTTAGAAAATCCGAAATGAAATTAAAAAGAGATCGATTAGTATGATATAGAGATAAACGAGGCAATTCATCAACATAACTATTAATAATTATTTCGATCTGTTTTATAGAAAAATTTGTCATAAAACTCTAATTAAAAATAAAATGATTCTTCTCAATCCAATATAGAGATGTATATTGTAGAACTTGAACGATATCGTTGGATATGTTGT